GCGTGGAGGTCCGTAATCCTGTCCCAGGACGTGTGGCTTTGGACGTACAGAGAGCACCGGCCGGGGCAAGGAGCGGGCGTAGTGAGAGCCTACTTGTATTTGGGACCGGGTGCGGTCAGGGAGGCCGTAGTGGGCCTCGTGACGACAGGGACTAGTGACGCAGTTAGCAGGACGTTACGCTACCTAGGGGAAGAGGTAGCTGCTTTCCGAGCGGAGGACGCGAGCGACCCGTTGACCCTATTTCACGGACACCCTCCTCTTGATATCACGGGCGAGCTCGTGGTAGCACGGGATGGGTTTTTCCCGTACAGCGTTAGGAGCCTGCGGGCGATAGTTCCGACGTTCGTAGTAGAGAGCGTCTTTGGAGGTATTGGTGGAGTGGTCGAGACATACCTGGCCTATCAGGATCTCAAGATCCTGGCGAGAAGGCCTGCCGACCTAGACTACATCTACTATTCGCTTGCGACCGGTGGGCCTCGTTGGGGAGACGAGAGGGTTCAGCTTGTAGAGCTGATCCGCTCGATAGACGACGAGTGGCCCCAGTCTTCGTGCGTTTGGGATTGGCTAGACCGTGAGCTCCGAGCAGGCCCCGAGTACGTGACTTGCATCGGGTGGCTCTTCTCAGACGACTGGGGGAACTGGTGGAATGAGGACGCCGGACGACCTCTGATATACGGCCATCAGTTGACGGAATACTACTAGGCCATAGGACAGGCGCCATACCGCGTCGAGGACGAGTTTGACGACGAGGGTTGGGAGCGAGAGGACGACGAGGAGCTGTGGGAGCCAGACTGGGTCGACCCAGAGAGTGAGGTTGACGAGGAGGAGATTGACGTTATAGACGCCCATTTTCCCAGGATAGGAGTAGCGGTCCGGGCGTAGGAGGTAGAGGAGCGCGCCAGAGCGACGGATGAGTGAGCCTGGTTACTGAACCTATTCGACCATACTGGACCTAAGTGCGAGAGTTGTCAGAAGGGTCAGCAACGTCGAGAAATGGGGTGTATCGGAGGGAGTAGAGTGATGCTGACCGAGAGTAGGAGAAAAAATGAGGAGTGATTCAGCGGCCTGGTTAGCTTATGTTTTCTCACGAGATTCCGAATCGTATAGTGTGAGGAAGCTTGTGGGACCCAGAGAGACGGCGATTGGATACGACATACCACTTCCGGTGGCGTTAGAAGAGGCAGGGCGTGTACCGATACGATACTTGGGAACGTGGCTCGCTGAGGGGCTCTTCCTATGGACAGTGATACTACGAGACGAACGACCCGAGAGGACTCATGATCTAGAAGGGGTCGGACATCTAATAGCGGATAGAACACACGATTTAGAGATAGGGTTAACGCTCGCAGGGGCGAGCAGGAGTTGGTGGAGAAGCGAGTTGTTGGCCAGAGTGATCGTTAATCAGCAATTGGCGAGATTCGCTGGAGGGAGGACGAGTAGGAGCTGCTTGGTATACGGTCCACCACATCCGACCCTCTACCCGAGAAAGGATTGACGGTTCGGAGTTCCTACCTTCGTGATAGGGCAGACCTATGGCAGCGTGGATCGTTTGAGGAGAGCAGTGGATCACACACTTTACGCGCTCTGGGAGGG